CTCCAGAGACAGAAAATGGCACAGGCTACTGAAGACAGGTTCACCTCCCTTCCCAGCCCACGAACACACCAGACTTCAGTAGGGGCCATGCCCTGTGGCCCTCAAACACAACACCAGCGGGAAAGGGAAAGGCTCCCATGGAGGGCTGGGTGGGGGCTGGGTGGGGTCAACCCCTTTTGAGCCTCCTTGACATCATCTGTCATCATTTGCCCCTGAGGATCTAGGCCTGGGTGGCTCCTCCTTTCATTGAAGTTGAAGTTGTTGAAATGACACCTCCTCCAAGAAGCATCCCCTGACTACCCCTCTGAAATCCCTCCCAATTCTTTGCTGCCAGGCATCCTCTATCCATCTCCCTCGTGTGGGGTTCCCAGCACAACCCAAAATGACCTCACTTACTTACTTACTAGGTTCCTGCTCCCCTACTGCCACTTCATGAGAATGCCAGCCCCCCGGGGTTGGGGTTAGTCTTAGGACAGCTCCTGACACACAACAGGGGGTCAGTGAGTACTTTCCGAATGACTGAGGGAGGCTGCTTCTCTGTAGGAATTCTTGGGGATTCTCTGAGCAGCCTGCAGATGAATCAGCATGAGGTCTGCTGTTGATAAATGGCCACTGCGGCCTGATACCCACCTGCAGCCACCTGGCCCTGGCTGGAGGCTCCCATCCCTCCCATCACCCCCCACAGAAGAGGAGAGTCTGGCTCACAATAGGAGTTTCTTCTTTGACTTAAATTCCCGCTGCTACACATAGAAACCCAGAAGGTGCAGGAGCGCCCCAAGCAAACAGATGGCGCCTACTCTATGTCAGATGCCAGGTTCCTGTGGAGTCCAGCTTATGGCTCAGGCCCAAGTGACACTCAGCCAGGCTCCAGCACCTCCCATCTGGCCAGCAGGGTGGATAAGCCCCACAGCTCTGAGCCTCAACTTCCTTATCAATAAGGTGGGCACAGCCCACCCGCCTAAAGGGACAATATCCAGAGTAAATGGGGTAACACATGGGAGAGGACCACTTGTGGGGCAGGAAGGAGGCCTTCCTTCCTCATTCCACACTCAACCACGTGTACCTACTACATGCAGGCCAAGAGGAGGGAGGGGACACAATTCCCATGCCCGGGAACGCCTGGCTGTCAGAGATACCAAGAATGTTAACAGGCAGAAAGTGTCCCCAAGAGGGGGTACATCAGACTGTGGACCACCATGGGAGGAGGGAGAGGTCACCCCTGGCTGGGGGCGGCCACATCAGGCATTCTGGGCCAGGAACTAGAGTGACGTGAAAATGTTCATCCAGAATGACCTCCCATCACCCCATCACTTGTCCCCAACAAATTCTGAGGTCAGCTCAGACTAGGGACAATTTCCTCATGTGATCCAGTCCTCCGTTCAACCCTCAGGAGGCTGAGACCAAAAATAAAGCTTTTGTTCATTTTTGTTGTTTATTTTTTTGAGATGGAGTCTCACTCTGTCACCCAGACTGGAGTGCAGTGGTGCGATCTCAGCTCGCTACAACCTCCACCTCCCAGGTTCAAGTGGTTCTCATGTCTCAACCTCCTGAGTAGCTAGGACTACAGGCATGCACCACCATGCCCAGCTAATTTTTTTTGTAGAGACAGAGTTTGACCATGTTGGCCAGGCTAGCCTCGAAATCCTGACCTCAAATGATCCACATGCCTCAGCCTCCCAAAGTGCTAGAATTACAGCAATAAGCCATGGCACCAAGCCCTCAAAATAAAAAAAGTTTGAGGCCAAGGAAGATTCACTAGGGGACTAGGGAGACCCAGGGGTCCTGAATGGTCAAGAGCCAGGTCTCTCTAATCTATATGGGGGTCAGAGAGTAGCTCTAGGTTCAATCCTTGCTCCATCATTACCAGCTGTGTGGCCTGGGCCAGGTGACTTAACCTCTCTGAGCCTCCATTCCTCATCTGCAAAATGGGAATGGCATTCCTAAACCTACCTCATATGCTCATTCACGCATGCTCAACACCTGCTATGTGCCCTGCGGCAAAGCAGACAAAAATCATCCCTGCCCTCATGGAGCACATGTTCTGGTGATTCTAGTGTGGAGAAAATGAGAAACCAAGGTATTTGTATGCTACATGGTGTGTTCAAATGACAGAACTGGGGAGAAGGTGGGAGGAAATGGGGAGGTGGAAAAAAGGCCTCCCTGAGATGCCATTGGAAAAACACCTAAGGGAGGTGAGGGACACAGGCAGGTGTGTGGAAGAGAGGCATTCCAGGTGGCAGGATCAGCCCGTGCCAAGGTCCTGGGGCAGCAGCAAACCTGGTGTGTTAAAGAATAGAAAGGAATGGAACAGGTGGGGTTGGGGGCCGGGAGACGAGGTCAGATGGGGGAAGAGTGCGGGTTCTGCTGGCTCAAAGCCACCTCTAAGAGCTGTGGCATTCCCCTGTGTGATGGGGACAGCTGTACTGTACGGAGCTCTCGTGTGTGCACAGCTTGCCTGGCGTGTAGGTAGTAAGTGCCCAGCCAATGCTGCCTCCTTTTATTGCTTTTATTTTCCCCTCATAATGGGCTGAACCATGGACCCCAAAAAGAGATAATGAAGTCCCACTCCCCTCACCCTCGGTCCTATGAATATGACCTTATTTAGAAATAAGGTCTTGGCTGGGCGCGGTTGCTCACAACTCTCACCCCAGTGCTTTGGAAGGCTGAGGTAGGTGGATCACAAGGTCAGCAGTTTGAGGCCAGCCTGGCCAACATGGCGAAACCCCGTCTCTACTAAAAATACAAAAATTAGCCAGGCATGGTGGTGCACGCCTGTCATCCCAGCTACTCAGGAGGCTGAGGCAGGAGAATCACTTGAACATGGGAGGCAGAGGGTACAGTGAGCCAAGATCACATCACTGCATTCCAGCCTGGGTGACAAAATGAGATTCCGTCTTAAATAAATAAGTAAGTAAGTAAATCGTCTTTACAGATGGAATAAGTAAAAATAACTTCACATTCAAGACAGAAGGGTGTTCAATCTACTGTGGATTGTTTTATTTTGAGACAGGGTCTCATTCTGTCACCCAGGCTGGAGCACAGTGTTGCAATCATAGCTCACTGCAGCCTCGACCTTCTGGCTCAAGCGATTTTCCTGCCTCAGCCTCCCGAGTAGCTGGGACCACACACACATGCCACCACATCCGACTAAGTTTCCTGTGTTTTAAGCCATTCGGTGTGTGGGACTTGGTTGCAGAAGTCCTAGGAAACTAATCTGCCTGCCTTGGGAGTGAGACCATTCATGGGCAAGGCTGTCCTGGTTGTCCCAGAGCCCAGGGCCACACTGGGCTTGATGGGGTGCCATCTGGGTCCAGGCCTGAGGCTTCTGGCTGGCCCAGGCATGGAAGAAGCTAGATCCCCAGTCCCAGGGCTGTGCGTTGAGTGCCTTACCATGTATCTGCAGCTCTGTGAGCAGGGAGGCCTCACCTGGGAATCCAGCCCACAAGGCCTCACTGTTATGCCGGCTCTGGCCAGAGAGCTCCAGGTGCCCATCATGGTAGCAGCAGCTCTGAGTAGCTGAGAGATGTGGGTCCCATCGGGATGCGTCCAGAATGCTCAAGGCCCGAGCTACCGTTGCGAATGTCCGTGAAGACCAGGAATGTCACCAAGGAGATGCTGGGCTGCCCTGTGCAGAGAGACAGCCAGCCCTGAGCAACCTGGCACTGGCTCCCACACACCCTGGGGTTATCAGTGCCATCCATGCCCCTGTGGTGGGAGGACCTCAGGCCCTCTTGAAGGAGGAGTGATGACTAATGCAGTTACTCCAGCTAATTACGTGTGCACCAAGGAACCCGCAGATAAAATAGAGAGCCAATCAGGAGGTGGGGCAGGCAGGGGAGAGGAGGCCTGGGGAAGACGGCTAGATCAAAACTTTGGGAAGAGGAAGATGTCCTGGCTGATGTGAAACAGGTTGGCAAACTACAGCCTACACATTTTGTTGTAAATAAAGTTTTATTGGAACATAACCCTGCCTGTCTGTCACAGGTATGTGAACCAGAGCATTCCATCTTGAATAGAGGCTTGGTAAAATGAGGCTGAGGCCTACTGGGCTGCATTCCCAGATGGTTAGGCATTCTAAGTCACAGGATGAGACAGGAGGTCACACAAGATACAGGTCATGGCCAGGCACGGTGTGTCACGCCTCTAATCCCAGGACTTTGGCAGGCTGAGGTGGATGGATCCCCTGAGGTTGGGAGTTCAAGACCAGCCTGGCCAACATGGGGAAATGCCATCTCTACTAAAAGTACACACACACAAAAATGACCTAGGCATGGTGGCACCTGCCTATAATCCTAGCTACTCAGGAGGCTGAGGTGGGAGGATTGCTTCAACTCGGGAGGTGGAGGTTGCAGTGAGCCGACATGCGCCACTGCACTCCAGCCTGGGTAACAGAACAAGACCCTGTCTTCAAAAATAAAAAAGCAAAGAGAAATTCAGGTGCAGGTGTAGAGTGCATTAGCACGAGCAGGGGTGCTGTGGTGGTGGAGAAGGTGGTCAGGGAAGGTCTCTCTGTGAAGGTGATAGACATGAGGGCTGAGCCCAGGGACTCCTGGGGAGAGCAGCACGGGAGGGCTCTAGGTGTTGGTGCCATTTGTGGTCCTTTTGTTTTGTTTTGCTTCATTTTGTTTTTGAGACAAAGTCTTGCTCTGTCACCCAGGCTAGAGTGAAGTGGCACAATCTCGGCTCACTGTGATCTCCACTACCCGGGTTCAGGCCACCTCAGCCTCCCAAAGAGCTGGGATGACAGGTTTGAGTCACTGCACCTGGCCTCTGCATCAACGCGTTTAAACTCTCCTGACCGCTGTGCTTTAGGAAGAGTGTTCTGACAGCCATCGGAAATAAATGACAGAATGGCAGGACAAGGATCACGTCAGTGACAGGGTGGCTGTGGACATCTGCTGGCCAGCAGCAGGGAAGCCAGTCAGACCCCAGATTCTACCTCTGCAGCCTGCCTGCACATGAATTCTCCTCCCTACATCAGTAGAAGCCTGGAACTCTCAGAAAAGCAGACCTCATCAGCTGCTGCCACCTTCACCAGAATGATGTGATTAATTCATTCATGCAGAAGACAGCAGGAACCCCGAGAGAACAGGATCCAGAATGTGTGAGTTTTGATGGACAGGGTGGTAGGATCTAGGAGGCTCCACCTACCTCACCTCCTGACCCCCACACTCCTTTCCCAGTCATGCTTGGCATAGAGACTAGAGTGACATCAACAGAAGGGTAGATGCTTGGAAGGACACCAGCGACACGGAGAAGAGGAGGCCGGAGGTCCACAAAGCGCCCAGCTCCTGGCCTCAGATGCCCAGGACTCTGTCCAGAAAGGCTCCCTCCCAGCCATGGAACTTGATGGTCCTTGAGTTCCTGAGGATGGAGCTGATGGGCCGGGCCCGAAAGTCCTTCTGCCTCATTTGCCCTCCTGGGATTGGAGGGAAGAGAGAGATGAAGACACGGCCGGTCCAGAATTCTCCTCTGCACCCTGACAGTCACCCTGCAGCAAATCCCACTGATCTCACCAAGTGCGTCCCAAAGCTGTCTTCCTCTTCGCATCTCTGACCCTCAGTCCTGATCCATCCACCATCATTCTGTGCCTGGACTCCTGCAGGAGCTGACCCAGGACCACCGCCCCGGGGAGGCAGCTTCTGATGCCCGGAGAACAGAGGCTGCCCCTGAGCCCACCTGGGGATGGCGCCATCAGGAAGGCTACCTGGAGGTGGTAATGCCTGAGTTACATCTTTTTTTCTTCCTTTTACATTTTTGGTTGAGTTGGGGAGGAGTCTCACTATGTTGCCAGGCTGGCCTCAAGCTCTTGGGCTCAAGTGATCCTCTGCCCCTGGCCTCCTAAAGTGCTGGGATTACAGGTGTGAGCCACCATGCCTGGCCATGGGTTTTCTTGAACCAAAGCATATTTCTTGTCATGTTTAACAGAATTGTGCCCCAGCCCTGTACTTTCCTTGATTCATCCTCCTTTGAATAGCGAACCTCTCAAAAGCTGTAACGAACATGGAAGAGCCGCTGGCTGGGTGGGCTGGGTGGTGGCAGGGGGGCTGGGGTTCCAGCAGTTGGCATCCCCTTTCCCAGGACGTACACATGGCCTCATGTACCTGTCCTTTTTTCTCCTAGGTCAGCTCGTTGACACTGTCTGGGTGAACAAAGGAGACCAGATCTTGTTTTCATCCATGTTCGAAGCCAATATCACCATCCACAACATTGCTGTCAGTGTGTGTCCGAGCCACCAGTAGCCTAGAGATATTTAGACCTGGTTTATTAACCATACACCTGCCAGACCCAACCCAGCCAAAACATGAAATCGACTGGGTGCAGTGACCCACACTGTAATCTCAGCACTTTGGGAGGCCAAGGTGGGTGGATCTCCTGAGGTCAGCAGTTTGAGACCAGCCTGGCCATCATGGTAAAACCCCATCTCTACTAAAAATATAGAAATGAGCCGGGTGTGGTGGTGCACACCTGTAATCCCAGCTGCTATGGAGGCTGAGGTGGGAGAATCACTTCAACACAGGAGGCGGAGGTTGCAGTGAGCCGAGATTGAACCACTGTACTCCAGCCTGGGCAGAGAGCGAGACTCCATCTCAAAAAACAACAGTACAACAACAAAGACACAAAATCAAACACCCCTGTCCTTTTTTTTTTTTTAAGAGATAGATAGGGACTTTCTGTGTTGTCCAGGCTACAGTGCAGCGGTACAATGACAGCTCACTGCAGCCTCGTACTCCCAGGCTCAAGCAGTCCTCCCACCTCAGCCTCCTGAGTAGCTGGGATTACAAGTGCATGCTACCATGCCCAACTAATATTTGTGTATGTGTGGGTGGAGATGGGGTCTCACCATGTTGGCCAGGCTGGCCTCAAGCTCTGGGTTTCAAGTGATCCTCCCATCTCAGCCTTCCAAAGTGCTGGGATTACAGGTATGAGCCTCTGTTCCTGGCCAAAACCTAATTACACATTCATGAATGACCGAGGGCATGAGCTTCTGTGTCCTTTAACAATGAAGTGGATGATTCCTTGGGTATAACTTTGCTGGGGATGCTGTAACAAAGTGCCACAAATTTGACTTAGAACAAGACAAATTTGTTGTCTCAGGCCAGATGCCTTGGCTCATGTCTGTAATCCCTGTACTTTGGGAGCATGAGAGGATCTCTTGAGGTCAGGAGTTCAAGACCAGCCAGGCCAATAGGATGAAACCCTGTCTCTACTGAAAATATACAAGGCCGGGAGTGGTGGCTCACACCTGTAATTCTAGCACTTTGGGAGGCTGAGGTAGGCAAATCATGAGGTCAGGAGTTCAAGACCAGCGTGGCCAACATGGTGAAACCCTGTCTCTACTAAAAATACAGAAATTAGCTGGGCGTGGTGATGCACGTCTATAATCCTAGCTACTCAGGAGAATGAGGCAGGAGAACTGCTTGAACCCAGGAGGTGGAAGTTGCAGTAAGCTGAGATCGTACCACTTTACTCCAGACTGGGGGACAGAGCAAGAATACATCTCAGAAAAAAAAAAAAAATCTAGGCATGGTTGCATGTGCCTGTGTTCCCAAGCTACTCAGGAGGCTGAGGGGGGAGGATTGCTTGAGCCAGGGAGAATGAGGCTGCAGTGAGCTGAGATCATGCCACTGCACTCCAGCCTGGGTGACAGAGCTAGACTCTGTCTCAATAAATCAATAAATAAAATAAAAAGTTGTTGTCTCCCAGTTGGGAGGCCGGAAGTGTAAAGTCAGGTGTCTGCAGGCCGGGCTCTCTCTGGAAGCTCTGGGGAAAAATCTGTCCCAGCCTCTCTCCTGCTCAGGCATCCGTTGGATTATAGTGGCCATTGTCCTTCTATGCATGTCTGTCTCTGTGTGCAAATTTACCTTTGGGCAGGCACAGTGGCTCACACCTATCATCCCAGCACTTTGGGAGGCCGAGGCAGGATTGCTTGAGCCTGCAAGTTCAAGACCAGCCTGGGAAACATAGTGAGATATCATCTCTACATAAAATACAGAAGGTTAGCTGGGCATGGTGGAACACACCTGTAGTCCCAGCTACTCAGGAGGCTGAGGTGGGACGATCACTTGAACCCAGGAGTTTGAGGCTGCATTGAGCTATGATCACACCACCACACTCCAGCCTGGGTAACAGAACAAGACTGTCTCAAGAAAAAAATATTTTATTCTTTCTTTTTCTTTTACTGGTAATAAATTTCCCTTTTAGTAAGAACACCAGTTATATGGGATCAGGGCCCCACCTTCATGACACATTTTAACTTGATGACCTCTGTAATGACCTGGTCTCCAGATAAGGTCATGCCTGGAATCCCAGCACTGTGGAAGGCTGAGGTGGGAGGATCACTTGAGGCCAGGAGTTCAAGACCAGCCTGGGCAACACAGTGAAACTTCACGTCTACAAAAACAATTAAAAAAAATTAACTGGGTATAGGGGTGTGCACCTGTAATCCCAGCTCCTTGGGAGGCAGGCGCACAGAGCAAGCCCAGGATGTCAAGGCTGCAGTCATCTGTGATTGTGCCACTGCACACCAGCTGGACAACAGCAAGACTAGTCTGTCTCAAGAGAAGAAAAAAAAAAAAAAAAGGTTTGCTGATCCTATGTGGGGTAATTTTTGAAAACTTTAACTCTGTTTTTTTTTTCATATTGCTTAGCTTTTCCACATGAACTCTGTGATTATAACCAGAAAATCTCAGTCACATTACTTTTTTGTTTTTTTGAGATGGAGTTCTGATCTTGTTGCCCAGGCTGGAGTGCAGTGGCATGATCTCTGCTCACTGCATCCTCTGCCTCCTGGGTTAAGTGATTCTCCTGTCTCAGCCTCCTGAGTAGCTGGGACTACAGACGCATGCCACCATGCCTCATTCATTTTTATATTTTTAGTAGAGAGGGGGATTCACCTTGTTGGTCAGGCTGGTCTCGAACTCCTGGCTTCAAGTGATCAGCCCGCCTCAGCCTCTCAAAGTTCTGGAATTGCAGGCAACAGCCACAGAACCCGGCCATACTTACCTTTTTGTCCGCAGAAGTAACTAGCATTTCAATTTTTGTTTGTCTTGTTTCGTTTTTCTTCGATGAAAACAAACTGGCAGTTATAATTGGGGAGGACAATTTTCATTATGGGAACCTGGGAGTCGTGCCTAGTTCTGTAATCAAAGATGGTAAAAAGAAACTGGGGTTATGGGGTGGGGACGGTGGCACACACACCTGTAATTCCAGCACTTTGGGAGGCTGAGGTGGGTGGATCACGTGAGGTCTGGAGTTTGAGACCAGCCTGGCCAACATGGTGAAACCCCGTCTCTACTGAAAATACAAAAATTAGCCAGGCCTAGTGGTGGGTGCCTGTAATCCCAGTTACTCGTGAGATGGAGTAGGAGAATCGCTTGAGCCTGGGAGGGGGAGTGAGACTCTGTTTCAAAAAAAAAAAAAAAAATTCATCCTGGGATACAAGGCTGGTTCAACAGATAGAAGTATATAAACGTAATTCACCACATAAACAAAACAAAAGACAAAACCACATGATTATCTCCATAGATGCAGAGGCAAAACTCTCAATAAACTAGGTATTGATGGAACGTATCTCAAAATAATAAATGCTATTTACGACAAACCCACAGCCAATATCATACTGAATGGGCAAAAACTGGAAGCATTCCCTTCAAAATCTGGCACTAAACAAGGATGCCCTCTCTCACCACTCCTATTCAATGTAGTATTGGAAATTCTAACCAGAGCAATCAGGCAATAAAAAGAAATAAAGCGTATTCAATTAGGAAAGGGGGAAGTCAAATTGTCTCTATTTGCAGATGACATGATTGTATATTTAGAAGACCCCATCGTCTCAGCCCAAAATCTCCTGAAACTGATAAGCAACTTCAGCAAAGTCTCAGGATACAAAATCAATGTGCAAAAGTCACAAGCATTCCTATACACGAATAACAGACTGAGAGAGAGCCAAATGAAGAATGAATACCATTCACAATTGCTACAAAGGGAATAAAATACCTAGGAATACAACTAACAAGGAATGTAAAGGACCTCTTCAAGGAGAACTACAAACCACTGCTCAACAAAGTAAGAGAGGACACAAACAGATGAGAAACATTCCATGTTCATGGTTAGGAAGAATGAATATTGTGAAAAAGGCCATACTGCCCAAAGTAATCTATAGATTCAATGATATCTCCATCAAGATACCAATGGCCTTCTTCACAGAACTGGAAAAAAAACCACCTTAAACTTCATATGGAACCAAAAGAGAGCCCACATAGCCAACTCACATCTAGGCAAAAAGAACAAAGCTGGAGGCATCATACTACCTGACTTCAAACTACATTCCAAGGCTACAGTAATCAAAACAGCATGGTACTGGTACCAAAACAGAGATATAGACCAGTAGAACAGAATAGAGGCCTCAGAGGCAATGTGACACATCTACAACCATCTGATCTCTGACAAAAACAAACAATGGGAAAAGAATTCTCTGTTTAATGAATGGTGCTGAGAAAACTGGCTAGTCCTGTGCAGAAAGCAGAAACTAGATCCCTTCCTGACACCTGACACTGCAATTAACTCCAGATGGATTAAAGACTTAAACCTAAGACCTAACACCATAAAAACCCTAGAAGAAAACTTAGGTAAAACCATCCAGGACATAGGCATAGGCAAGGACTTCATGACTAAAACACCAAAAGCATTGGCAACAAAGGCCAAAATAGACAAATGGGACCTAATTAAACTCCAGAGCTTCTGCACAGCCAAAGAAACTATCATAAGAATGAATTGGCAACCAACAGAGTGGGAAAAAATTTTTGCAGTTTACCCATCTGACAAAGGGCTAATAACCAGAATTTACAAAGAACTAAAACAGATTTACAAGAAAAAAAACAAACAAGCCCATTCAAAAGTGGGCAAAGGATATGAACAGCTACTTTACAAAAGAAGACATACATGAGGCCAACAAACATATGAAAAAATGCTCATCATCACTGGTCATCAGAGAAATGCAAATCAAAACTACATTGAGATACCATCTCACGCCAGTTAGAATGGCGATCATTAAAAAACCTGGAGACGACAGATGCTGGAGAGGATGTGGAGAATTAGGAACACTTTTACACTGTTGGTGGGAGTGTAAATTAATTCAACCATTGCGGAAGACAGTGTGGTGATTCCTCCAGGACCTAGAAATAGAAATTCCATTTGATCCAGCAATCCCATTACTGGGTATGTATCCAAAGGATTATAAATCTTTCTATTATAAGGACACATGCACACGAATGTTCACTGCAGCACCGTTTACAATAGCAAAGACTTGGAACCAACCCAAATGCCCATGATGGTAGACTGGACAGGGAAAATGTGGCACATATACACCATGGAATACTATGCAGCATAAAAAACGATGACTTTGTGTCCTTTGTAGGGACATGGATGAACTTGGA